GAGCATTTTTTCGTTTGCATATTCGTACTCAGTCACGTCCCTAATGAAAAGTAAATAGAATTTTTTGGAAAATGTATGCGTACTCCATAAAATCTTCGGGTAGGGATTTTACACCCCTATGAGTTGTCTACAGCAGAGATGGAACCGGTACCGGTCTGGACTTTGGATTGACCGATCTACCGGTTTAAACCGGTCTGACCGGTCCAAATCGGTCTATATTTTTCACTTTCCCGCTCTATGATGGTAATCATATGAAAAAATAACTGGCACCAAGACTAGTTCCACTAATCACATAGGAATTTATTTTTAAAAAAATTTTCAAAATACCCATCAGTGAGACTATTGTTATCAACGGGAAAACATTATGTCAATATGCGCGAAAGTACGAAGGTAGCCCTCAAGAGAGTTCACTATGAAACAAGGCTTCATTTCAAGCCTTAGCCTGTTGTCTATAGATCGATATTTTATCGGTAGGTCCGTTTTTCTTTTATAAACTGACGTATCATCAGCATCCTATTTGGTACCGGTAGGCTAGTTTTGCCCGGTAGACCGGTCAGATCAACTTTTTTTGGTAAATCGGTTTCGGTCGGCGAACCGGTCTAGACCGGTTCCATCTCTGGTCTACTGAATGTACCATTTAGTTTTCAACAGTGTTATGCTAGTTCGAAGTTTTTAAATTAAAATGCATGAAGTGGAAGTTGATGTCCATTTTTGTGTCACGTCGCTAACGCTAGCTTTGTAGTAATAACTCCTCTCAACAAAGGCCACTAGGGCTGATTTTTTCAGAGTATCTAGAGTAACTTACCTTACATATAGCATATAGAAATTAGCTCTTGGGACGTTCATTATCCCAAGATATACACGTTGCAATTTTATGAAGTCACGTCGCTAACAAATGATTTTGCCCATATATCGATGACGCGGTTGAACATACGAAACTTATATATTTTCATACTAAGTTTGTTTTTTAGATCATTTCTCAACTATTTATTTGTTGAGAGTATGCCGATCGTGATCGAGAAAGGACCGCTCTGAAGTGGTCTAATAGAGTTTGGATCAGCTCGAGATTGGATAGATCCCAAGGTCTGACCTGCTTGATTGCCTGAATAGAAATGATAAAATGGAATTGAATCGAAAAATATACAATAATTTGCTTTCAAGAAAAAAATTCAAAATTCACTGTGTAGTAGGTTCGGACCATGTTTTCAAAATGTGTCGCAGCGAGCACCTCGTGTCGTACTTGCATGTGTTGCAGATTGTGTCTCAAAGTGCGACACATTTTATTTTAGTGTGTTAAAATTACCTACAGGCTTGGTATTGTTTAATACATGATTAGCTGCACTAAATTTACCAGGATCTTTTTGAATTTCATGATGTTGTCTCATACATTATTTTCATATTTAAGTGTATGTTTGTCCAATATAGACTTTTCAACAAGACAGTTGATTAATTACATGAATATTCATGGGGTCGACACCTTTATAATTTTTCTTAAATAACTTTTCAATAGTTAAACCTTTCTAAATCCAAAAATTACTTTTATTATGCGACCAATTTTTTTCTAAAATAGATTTGATTTCTATTTGTTATAATAAATGTTTCTGTCCCATAAATGTAGATGGTACGAAGAAAGTGTTCTTCAATGGTTTTAGTCAAATATGTTGATTAGATTGTTGTATTTCATTATCTATTTTTCTTGTTACTAAATTAATGGGTTACCCATTTTCGACTAGAGTTTTTGCAATTAACCTGCATTGTTCTGTTAATAAAGTTTTTGATGATCACATGCTCGATGCACAAAATGTTATAGTTTTCATAGAATCTTTTTTTATATTTCTTTACTTCTCAGCTGGACCAGTTTAATATTTGACATGAATGTGTTTTCTTTCTCTGAAGTACTATTTGAAATTTCGTACATCGTTCTATGACTTTAACATCTAATAATGATAATTCAGAATATTTTCTTATTTCATTCGTAAATTTGAGATTCGGATGTAGTGAGTTGCCGTTATCTCATAACTTTTCAATGTCATATTATTTTTCATTTAAGCAAAATAAACATATTAGCAACGTTTCTTCGATAAAATTTTATTTTTTTATTGGCTTCAAATTTTTTCAATTTCTGTTCGATATGTTTCATAAATATATTGTCAGTAAGGGAGTAAAAGGACTATCCATACAGAGTACTGACTCTATCTACTTGTACATGTAATTTATCAGATAATCTAATTAGTGTTATTGGTCACAGCAAGATCGAACAAGTGTTTCAAATCTTTTTCATTTCACATGGTAAACTGTTCATCTTGTTAATGTTTTTATGATTATTTGAGTGATTAAATCAAGAAATAGTGGTGAGGTGACGTGTGAAGAGCACCTTATATGCATCCAATATTAAGTTTTTGTTTTTATTTTCGCTTTGTTAATTTGTAATTATTAGTGACTATGAATTATATGAAATAAACGTTTCACTGTATTGATATTTGATGAGAAACTTTAATGAATATTTTTTTTAATACTCATGTTTTGAATTTAAAACTATTCAATAGTTCAACTTTTTTTTTCATTCTGTCGAATCCTGTCTGAAGTATTTAAAGCTTTTTGCCGATGGTTGCCGACTAAATTGACCGAACTCGATATTTTTTTTTCTTATCATGATTCAGTTCCTAAGACGCAGGGTGATGAAGAATTTCACATTGTATCAGAATATATACTTACTTTTGTAATACTTTATTTTTTAATGAAAATAAAGCTGAAAAACTGTATAAAATGAGAATAGGAAATATGATGGAGAGGATTTTGAAGATTGGAATATTTTTATTGTGCAAAAATTTTGTTACCGAGTAAGTACAGTTCACTGTATACATATATGGGGTTGTGGAGAATTTTAGGCGCTATCAGAATATATAATTACTTCTGCAAAAGCATCGATTTATAAGAATGAAATGTGAAAAATATCGAGTACAACTATTTTTTTTACAAACTGGAATTTCCAATAAAAAAATCATATATTCTCGAAAAAAATTCTGTAGAAAACTTCAATCCCACAATTTTTTGAAAATGTCAGTCGATACAGTTCGATTTGCTTTCTCAAATGAGACTACTTGGAACTATTCTACTGTGCTGATTCGATCAACTTGCTCGAAACACATGAACATGCTTTCTAAAAAAGTATATGGTACTAAGCGAAAAATATCTGATGATGAAAGACTTTTCTTATTGTGAGAAAGTAGTCCATGTTCAATAGTAACTATGATGAATAGTCTCAGTGACAAATTTTATTGTTCACTAGGAAATGAAAATGTATTGAAAATTATTTCACTACAAAAAGTTCCAATTTTCCCTGAGTTCCAGTACTTTCAAGATCTATATCTCGAGAAGAGTTCATCTGTTTGAGTAAAAATTTTCAGTTTCTTCTTAACTTGGCTAATTCTATCTACTGTGAAAGCACCAGTCCAATCAATGAGATACTACCATATTTATGTCAAAAACATAGTATTTCACCTCTAAACCCTACTTTTCTCTCAAAAACTTCCATTGAAAGAGATACTATTCGACAGAGCATCAAATTCTGTATCGAGCATAATTCGATCGAGAGCCACACAGGTTGGGAACAGATCCGGGCTAGAATTACTACTAAAACTAGATCAGAAGCTCAGTATTTTGCTCCTAATCCACACTTTTTGCTAATTGACCGTCATTGAAAGTGCTACCATTCGATAGAGAATAAAATTCTTCATCTAACATAGCCGGTTAGAAACGCAACATAAGTCAAGAAACGAATCTGGGCTGGGAATGCTCAAATCCAATGCTAACTTTAGCTGCTTTTTATGATCGATTTTTCGAGGAAAAAATGCAAAAACTCTGACTGATAAAGAGTTCTTCACCCGATCGGTTCGCAAAAGTTCCGAAAGAATCAATGTAGACCAATCATAGGTTCATTTATCAAAAAGAAGTTCAAGTTCATGAGTCACATCGATTTTCTCTTTGAAAAAATTAATTTAGGAACCTCAATCATACACAACAATTTTGAATAAAATAATAAGAAATTAAACATGATTATATAGTGAAGAAGTTTCGGATGGAAAGGTTTCCATTTAAAAATATCATCCTGCTAGTTTTGATAATAATTTTCATTTTGAAAATTCATGCATAAGACTGAAAGAATGTCTACCAAGCTCATAATTGGCTCCATCGGTGGTGAAATGTGTAATCTGGGTGAGACTTGAGCCTCATCCGTTTTTACTATAATAACCGTAAGATTGTGAAATTACAAAGCGTTAAGTTACTTTTTTTTAGAGGTTTTTGGTCTCTGAGTGAAGAAAAGAAGTAAAATAACATGATTTTATTATAATTTATTTCGTTCATCAGCATATATAGTTATTTTTCTTCTTCAATTATTTATGGCTGAATTTAATTCAATACAACCTGTGGCAATTATCATGTAAAAAACAAAGCACCCGTTAAAGCCTTAAACTCAGTTCACCATAGGTAAATTTGTGTTTTCACATGACTTTTTTTACATAATACATAGTGCTTCGTTTTGTTTGCGAAGGTTTTCGTTGCAAGGAAATGTGTACGAATAGTAAGCTTAAAATTCTGTACGATATAATGATTACAGTAGAGCAATAATGGAGCATCCATTCCTAGTAAAAGAGAAATTAAAAGCTGTAATCAAACTGTTAAAAGTTCAAATTTAGAAAAATAATACGATCTGAATTTTTCTGGGACAAAATGAAAGTTCGTGGGATCCTGATGAAAATGTTCCATCACTCTTGGATTCTATAACCCTGTTATTATCTAGTAAAAGACCAAAGATTCATTATATAAACTATTCTCAAACATAATAAGAAAATAAATTATTAATCTTGTTTCATACGTTTGTTTATTAATTTTCTAATATCTCTCTGATGTTATCAAATAATAAATAGAAAATTTAAAAAAAAAACAAACAACAATGTGCCATTATTTTATTGAACTTGGCATAAACAATTTCTTCACCTTTATCGAAGTCGACGTGCTTCACGTTCAGATTCTAATAGAACGAGTACATCGTCAACACGTCTAAAAGTAAAATTATATTTTGAACATAAGTAAATAATTTACAAGAAAAAAACTTACACTGGACCCTTAACATTACGAATAATCGATCGTTTCGATGATGATGTATCAATAATTTCGACACGTACTTGTGTACATTGTCCCTGACTGCCAGTACGGCCAAGAATTTTAACAACACGTGCCATAACACCACCAGTTGGGTTTTTATCCATGATAATAATCTGACCTTTCTAATTGATTTCAAAGAAAAGATGAAATCTAAAAATTAAAAAAAAACAGTAATACATCTGTTTATGCAGCTCATCTACAATGAAAATCTATTCAGTAAAAGAACAAGTTATGTGTCGCCATCTTGAATAGTTTGTACTTTGAACCTTCATATAAGTTTTTATTTTTAAAAAAATTTATCAATTAACATTTTTAGTAACCTACTCCATTTCAAATTTATTGATATTAAATAAAAATTTTAATCATCTAACCAATAAACGAATTCATTTCATCAATATATTATTATCTGGATTTATTTGACATGATGGTACGGACCCTGATGGCAAAGAGCATAGTGAAATAAGAGAATCAATAACGGTTCACAGTGATTGGTGTTTTCAGTTTTGGGAGGGACCGCATATAGCTTAGATATTGATAGATAGAGAAAATTATTCTCTGTCGAATGGTGTTCTTGGTTTTCTATAAAAAAGTGGCGTTAAAAAGTTGTATCAGATGGCGCTAGTGTCTTTACATGATTGGTTGAACACATCTCAACGTTGACTCACTTCACATCATTTCTGTAATAAATATTTCTTGTCATTTAGATAAATTTGAATCCACATAAAAAGAATATTTATTTTTCAGAAAATTTTTCTTTGATTTGTGAATGAATTTCTAAGATAGTATGCACGTTTTCTAATCGTAATAATAATTTTATTTTGAAAATGTAGACAACAAATCAGTCTTTAAGATAAGAGAAATGTTTTGCTATTGAAATAATTTATATAATAGACAAATTTAAAACTAATCAAGAATTTCACTAGCTGAAGAAAATAAATAAATAAATAAAGAGATTGACAAAAAAAATAAAGTACATTATAGAAAAAAATACAGTTCATCAACTATACAGAGGCTTATACAGACTTTAGAAAAAAAAAACAAGAATAAATTATCCAGGTTCATGAAGAAAATTGTCTTCATGATGAAACTTAAGACAAATAACACCATGAAATAAAACGACAAAGCAGCAAACGAGAAACATTACAAAAACAAAATACAAAAATTTTATTAAGATTAGGTTGACTTCGAATTTTTGTTTTGCCAAAGTGTTATCGAAAATGAGTAGTACGACGAGGTGTTAATGATATTGTCAGTGATGGCATTTTCTAGAAAAAAGATTCAGATCATATATGTGAAGATATAAGAAAAACTCACAAAATTCAATGATGTAAGATTATGCTTCATTTCATTTAGCTTCGGAGTAGAACACGCATTTGATGATTGAAGTACAGATTGGTCATCAGCAGATTCTATAAAGAAATGAACGCATAATATGTTATATAATATACTAAAACGAGTAACATGAATACTGATGATAGTCTCCGACGCTTTGGTGTTGTTATTTGAAGATCATTCTTTAAGTGCAACGTATAATCAAGTACAATAGTCGTCGATTGAGAATATTTTCATATTATTCTGCAATGTCTTGTATAGAAACAATATATCCAGTATGGAGTATTGAAAGTAACCAAGCACATAATTCTTCGAAACTATTTCAATAAGAGTCATTCGATTCACCTTGTTGAGGATATAGTGGCAATGATTTTTATCTGAAGTTTGGCCGACGACGAACTTTAAGAGAACGAGTAAAAATCTAAATCAAAATAAAAGTAAGATAATAAAATGCTGATTTAATCAAAATTACTCTTCTTCGTATTCGTTTCGATTGATCTTGTTGTCTTCCTAAATTTTCATTTTGTATTACAACTTCATTTGTACTTTGATCATTAGTGACCATTTCAAACGATAAATCGTCGTCGTCTGGATCGGCTGTAGGTGCAACACCCATTGCAAATTAAAACCAAATGTTAAAAAGTGTATATTATTCATTTGACTCAGCCACTGATGATACTTGAAATACAGCTTCATCTGTTAATGCTTCTTTTGTTGAGTTCGCTGAATATTTTTCTATTGATTCAATATCGGCTGCTGTTGTAATATCATCTTGTTGTGAATCAGCAAATACGTCGTCCCAAGTGTTCTAAAACAAAATAGAACAAATTAATAAAAGGCAAATATACATTTTTGAAAATTCAAGTTTACTATAATTGGTTCAAACGTGTCAAATGTGAATGTTGCTTTTCTTATATCATTGGTGATCGTTGATGTTTCAGTAGAATTTATAGAGAGAACATCTTGTTTGGATTGTACAAATGATATGCTACTAATTAAAATTTGATGATCAATACTAATCGATGAAGATAGCGTTGGTACTTCAATCGAGCTGCATTCAACTGTAAATTCAGAAGGATCTTTCTACAAACAAAAAATAGAACATTTACACGTTAAACTAGATTCATTCATAAAGAAACTCATTTCATCATTTTCACCGATTAAAAATGCTTTGTTACTTTCTTTAGTGGAAAAGGTATTGAATTTCGTAGTATTTGTTGTTGGATGATTTGTAATATCTATTAATCTTCTAGCAGGGTTTGATTCTAGACATAAATTTTTTTTTTCGTTTTGGTCTTCCTATTTTATTTACGACAGAGACTGGTTCCATATAAAAAACAAGTGATTTATAGCACATTGAATCCACTAATTCATTTAGCAGTGTACCACTTAATTCCTTATTATAGCGGTTTGATATGCTTTACGAACTTTTTCTTCTCGTTCATTTGTGCAGATTTGAGTGTACTTGGAACGAGCTAGTCGACCTTTTTGTCCACATAGTCAACATAAAAATATTCTTCCAGGCATTGACGTTGATAAAAAATATAATATAACAGACAGCAATAAACAATTCTGTATTTCTTTTGTAGACGTAGACGATTTATCAATAGTCTAAAATAATAACAATCGTCTTTATCATCATTCATTGTTTCCATGATTACGTCCAGCCAATATCGTTCATGTGCAGCGACCAATCAGTGACCATCTTCTAAACCGGGCTAGGACCAGTAAAACTATTATTACCAAAATTACTAAATCACTTTATATGTTCAAAATGTAATATCAAAAGTTCTTGAAAAAGTGTCAAGATATATGGCGCCCTCTCTTGATGCATTTTTCGATATTGATTACACACTTCGTCACCGTCAGGGTACGTACCATGAAGAGAAAAAGAAAACAATAAATCTAGTAAAGGAGTCCTTATAAATACATAATGCTAACAATATCTTCTTCATCTTTAACACCAATAATTCGTGGATCAATTTTTCGTCGTCGTCGTTCATCATCATTAGATCTTTATCGTCCACGTACAATTATTATTGAAAAACCAACACCTAGTGCATCCTATGGCTTTTCAATTCAAACATATGGTTTTGCTTCATTAAATTCTTTATCAACCGATGAATCAGCATGTTCACTTATATCTTCATCATCAGAAAGTACAACAAGTCGTAAATCATTAACATCAAATTCATTTAGTTCATCATCACAAATAGCACCAATACAATTAGTTACATATGTCGATTATGTACAAGATAAAAGTCCCGCATGGGAAGCAGGTTTACGTTCTGGTTCAGTTATTTTATCTGTTAATGATCAAACAGTTGAAAATGATGATCATGAAAAATTAGTTCAACGTATAACACAAACATCAACAGCACAATTGAAATTAGTTGTTATACAACAAAATATTAATAAACAAATAGCATTATGTGAACAATTACAACAGTTACAGAAACAATTACATGAAAAAGAAGAAGAATTAGAAGAATTATGTAAACAAGAAATGACTGGCGAAGAAGATGTATCCGTTAAAGGTAAATGACAAAATTTAATGTTTCACATTGTGTTCAATCGTTATCTAAATAATGTTATAAATAGTTTAGAAAAAGCGATATAATTCTTAATCATCTTTTATCTAAAAGAAAATCTTATCAAAATTTTGTCCATTTGAATTCGCTTTCATTTGCTACCAGATTCGTTAGCATATTTTGACGTTAATTTTTCTAGTTGTTGAATAACTTACTTTATTTGAGATCACTGAAATTATATTTTGCTTTGTTAATGTTTAGTTGAATGGTTTATGAATTTTCGGATAAAAAATCTGGAGTCTAACAAGTTAGTTTCCGATCTCAGGAACTGAGGCTACGAAAAAAAATTGTTTTAACTGTCGCTAAAAATCAGAGTTCAACATTCTATGGTTTTAAATAAACTATCTTATAAATCACATCAATCAGAACATAATGCAAGACAGATGATTCCAAACATTTGCCAGTCATCGATAAAAAATCAAAAACAAGTATTGAAGCACTTTTTTTACATGTGATACACATAAATTCTAGAACAGTTTTCTCTCTAGACCGCGACCAAAAAACTTAGTTCTGTACATTTCTATACGTGTGTAGATCTGTAATGATCATTAGTAAAAATGGCATTTAATTATCTCAATACTATTGGGATATAACTTCTCCTTCCAGTGGTTAGTAATTGAATAAAGATATTGCTTAATATTTTTGATTTTTGTTTTTTTTTTGAATTTTTCTACATGATAATAATGACGTTTTTAAATACTGAATTTCGAAACATCGTAAAAAAAGAATTCGACAGTATTCAACAATGTCAATATCTTTGTGAGTAGAGGAAAAGTATTTCACTTAGATAAGCATATATTGAGATCCAGGAATTGAAGGTTGGATAAATTTACAGGAATATTGTTTGTAATGTATCTATAAGAAAAAGAAAATGTTTCCTTTAGCTAATCCTTTCTTATTTCAATAATTTCTGACTTATAGATGCCACATACTGTTCTTATAAAAACTCTAAACGAATTCGAATTCTTATTGAGATTTAACTATGCTATCAAATTAGAACTGAAACTTAATGCATATAGAAGACTCAACTAGATGATCTTTCATAAAAAAAAACTTGGTAGTTTTGAAATATCGTACAGGCTAATCTAGTTGAATTCTCTATATATATCAAGTTTCAGATCAAAATTCGAAAATCATTAATCCATAAAATATTGTCTAAAATTTCATTGTTTTCCCATGTAGAGTATATATCTAAGAAGTGTGTCCAGTGGTGGTATTACGGTCTAAATAAACATAAAATAATATTTGAAGAGTTTCACCATAATTAATATAAAGCTTTTCACAATGTTTAGAAACTGATTCTTCGCTGCCGTCACTTCAACATTTGGCTATGAATCTACGAGAGCGTACATCATCATTTTGTCATGATAAAATTCCATTAGATTGGCGTCAAAGTGTAACAAATTTTGCTCATCAACAAAAATTAGTAGCTCAAACCTTACCTTCAATATTAAATTCTTCTACATCAAAATATACCAAAAATCGTCAAATAAATCCTTCGCAAAATCATCAACGTAGCATGTCACTATCAACAATTGTTTTTCATTATTCAAAATCATCATTACGTCGTTATCAGTCTCCATTAATTAATCAACAAACAAAAAATCATCGTCGAGCATTTTCATATGAAGAATTATTTTCATTAAATAAGAATACACATTATATTTCATCTAATCATCAACAAGAAGAAAGTATGATTGAATCTGGTTGTTCATTAGCAATGGATTTATCAAGAAGTTTTAATCGAAAAAGTTCTCAATCATCATCTTCATCCTCTTCCTCCTCCTCATCATCAACAACAATAAATATGGATAATATTGAAAATAATCAAAAAGAAAAAATTGATAATAAAATCAAACAATTTAAATGGAAATTAAGGATAAATAAATAACAGTATTTTATCTTAGTGTTGTATTGTTTATTGTAAAAGTTCATTTCTTTTTTTTCTCTCTCTCTCTTTAGTCTGAACATTGAAACAAAAGAAGTTTGTGAATAGTTTATTATAGATTTATTTTAAAAGTAAAAATTCTATTGTATTGTTAATAAATATTGCTTTGAACTATTTAGAATGAATTCATAAAAAATATTTCATTCAAATCTAATTTTTGAAGAATTGACAACCTCAAGATAAAAGTCAAAGATATTCAACGTAAAGAAGAAAAAGCGAATACGAGTAATTCAGTACATATTTTTAAACACAATCTGAAAAAGTTCATTACATTTGTCATAATTTGCCATGATGAGAATATAATTGCAGTATCAGATCTTGAAATAAATACACATGGTATCTTACAATGGGGTTGAGCGAGTCAAATTATTTTTTCGTTTTCTGTTTGCTTTTATTATAACCCTTTATACCCTGAAGCGATTCCAGAAGAGCCACTGATAAAATTACCACAAAAATAGAGTATTGATCTCTCCAATATACCAATGGTACGGGCAGATCGATCAGGCGCACTACCTTTTGTGCAGGGGAATTTGATAACCACAGTGACCATTGAGATAGAGAAGGGGATGGAACAACTTTAAAAGGTCTACTTCTTTTCTTGTTTATGACGGTGTTAATTAGACAAATGTGCCTTCTATTCCTTTTTATTAGATTTAAATCCAAAAAGAAAAGCTACGAATATAAAAAGCTATTTTTAAACACCACATGTATTTTTGGCAGAGGTTTTTTAAAAATACACATTTTTCTTCAAGTAATTATGTCATCAATGAAGACATTTAATCGATGATATATATTTTTTTCGACTGCTACTCTGATAAGATTTACGAATAATATATTCATGATATCCGTCATCTCTCTCTTTCTGTTCAATAGTCGTTTCAGGATCCACCTGGTATCTTACCATTTCTTATCTGCCAAGCCATTGTGAAATTTTTGAAATGCATTTAGTCAAATAGTAGACACTTTTGTCTATATAGATGACACAACGTGGCCTCGAAATCTCTATTGCATGTGAGTGAAAAACCGTTTTCTTTTTAAAATTTTGTTATTTTTAAATTCTTTCAAAATCGATAATGTTGAAAGTCATATATCTCGAAGATAGAGCAACGAAACAAAATATTTTTGTTACCAATCGATAGCTTATGGAGTTCCGTATCCATATTGTTTTGGGAGTTTTCAATACTATGCATCCTGTATTTTCTGCAAACCTTTGTATGAATGAGCCAAAAATGATCCAACAGAGTATAAAGGGTTAAGAACATTAATAACAAGTTTTTTCATGACACCATATCTTGTTACTAGTTTTTATGTACAAAAACAAAATAAGAACAGTTCTACATAAAATATAACGATACAAGTGCTATAATCTTATCAATAAACGAACTGAGAAAATATGCGATCAACTGATGTTCATGTAGTGTAGGAACACACATGATTTTTCCAGCAAGCTTATTAAGAGATTGATATGAGTTAAGATCATTGGTTGGATTTTCTTCTTGGTGAATACCATAGTTTTCTTTTGATACTGTTTTTGATATTGAGTTATCAGCTTTTGTCTTATTGAAATGAATTAGTCAATCCAAGAAAGTCGAATATCTCAGTCTAGACACACGCACAGCAGCCCTGTTGTAACTCACTTACATCTAATCTTGTAAGCTTACAACATAGACACTTTCATTATTAATGAATATGAAAAATTCTTGTTTTCTGTTTTAAATGATATAGCAATACATTGTGTACATATGCATGTATTTGTATTTGTATTACATTAAATTAGAATGAAAAAAAAAAAAACGTTTCAGATTTTCTTTTGTTTAAGGACTTGAATATAAATTAAAGATAAAACCATTCGTTGATGTAAGCATACGTAATTTAAGTTTAGAATGATAGACATTTACACCAAACATTCCCCATGGTCCAGCACAAATTGTTGTTGGTATTAGTTGTTCACCATCAGTAAGTATATAAAGTTGTGGATTATTGCCTGGTGAATACCGACTATTACCAGATAAGATATCTAATAATGCACCAGTAATATATACACGTCCATAATTATCAACATCAAGATGAAATGGCATAAATGTTGAATGATCAGAAAAAATTAAAGGATTTGTTATTGGTAAATTACAGAATGAACTAAGATCAATTTGATTTTTAATACGATAAGTAAATGCTTGATCAAATAATAAATATCGATCAAGTATAATTAATTGTGAATTATTAACTATCCATATATTATGATTACGAATAATAATACCTGATGGTGCTGGTAAATATATTGAATTGATTTTTTGACCATTATTTTCATATTGTTCAATTGAATTACCAGTATCAATAGTTACAAAAATAATGTTAGGTCCATCTGTTGCAAAATAACACCATTGACAATGTTGTTCTAATATGAAATTATTAAGAACATCATTTGTAGTTATATTTTGCTCTGTTAAACGAATTCGATAAATTTTATTATCAATAGATGATTTCGTAATAATGTAAGCAATAGATGTTTGTGTATGTTGATCAAGATTAATATGAAAATATTTTCCATTTATTGTTTCAAGTTCATATCCAATTAATACTGGATCAACTATTTTCATATCATATGATGCACGTAATATTACACCTTCACCATTAATCGTCATTGGCCAATAAGCCGATAATTTTGTTAACCAACCTGTATAACCATTAGTTTCATTGACAGTTTTTTGTGGATCAAGTTTAATTGGTTGAATTTCCGTGAATAAATCACATAATTTTCTATGAGCTTGTGTTGCATCAATTAAACATGGATATATACGTGAATCTCGACCAGCACATGTATCTAAAATAATTGTCGTCCAATCGAAATCAGTATAATTACGACCTTGTGATCCATGTTCAGCAAACAAAGAACAATTGTTTGTGCTGGATTGATATGATGCTGTTAAACCTATTTGTATATATATATGTTATAGCCGAAATGAAAATTCAGATCATTCTCAGATTGATCAGTTACAATATGTCTAATCTAAGATTCAGCTAGGTCAATCTCGAATTAGAGACAAATTTAATTAATTCGTCGCTTATACTGAAACAAACTTCGGAAAGGTGAAAAATCTAATTTATTTCTCGATCGTGGGTATATGATGAAGAGAACAAATATATTCACAACTACATCATACTCTTCGTTGATTTTTGTGTAGTATTTTATACAAAATAAAAGTTTGAATACGATGGTTAACTTTTGCTTTAATTTTATATGTTACTCGATCCAATATTGGACTAAGCGAATATTAGATTAAATATATTGTAACGGATCAATTTGAGAATGACAGAACAATCCAAATGATTTATTATTTTGACATAACTATAATATACATACAATGAGAATCAAGACGACATAATTGAATACATTCATCGAGTGAGTTAACCAAGTATGTTTGTTCATAATATTTTGATTGTGATGCTTCGTAAATAACATTGTTAGCAATCGTTATTATTGGTTCTATCTAATAATAGTAATAACACATAAATATTACATCTGAATGTCAATATAGAGATTAAATTAAACAAAAGAGTTTTTCACAGTGAAATGGTAAAGATCATTTTTTTTGTTTTATTCTATTCATGTATCTATGAGTATAGAATCTGATTTTTTTATTCTTACGAATTTTAGACATTTAACCATCTCATTTTAAGAATAACAGTCATTTAACATAGCTTTCTTTTACTCTATGATATTGAGTTTGATCATAAATACTTGTTTTTTTTTTTCATCAACAGTGAATCTCTTTGAAAAGCATCGTCAACAAAAATAAACAGAAGAAAAATAGCATTCAAAAAATTATTCTTCCTGTCAAACTAACAAATAACTGATGTGAATTATTTTCAAAATTAAAAACATAATTATATCTTTAACAATCTTTATAAAGAACAAGATGTTTTACTTCATTGAATGCAATACCAGATAGTGTAATAAGCATACAATTAAGATTAGGTAAACGCATTCCAAATGCAATATATTCTTGATACATTGTACATTGTCCTTGACACCACACAGCTGTACGACATAATGTTGTTATACGACAACGTTTTCCACATTCTTGATAACTAAATGTTGATATAGTACTAATTTTTAACGTTGGATCAGCAGGTATATAAGTTTGACTTGGACGAATAATATCAGCACATGATTGTGCTGATATTAGACCATCAATTTTGTCTGATAACAAGTCATAAAAAAGTAATAAAAACCAAAAATGAAAAAGCATGATGTTTTCGTTTACGGTAAAGCAATAATATTGTTATACATGAGAAATGAAATAAAATAGAAAAAGAAATAAGACAAAGAACAGAAAATTATTTAATCAATGAAAAATAAAGACAAATGTTTACATTACATAGAACAACACTATATAAATCATAAATTTTTTATTATGTCGTTGATATCGATCTATGAACATGTGATTAAATAGTTCGTATTTCAACGATTCGAAAATAAAAGATAATTTATTATTATTATTATTATTTGTCATCTTCGTATTGAAAACAAAAGTGAAAATAAAAAGTACGAAAGACTGTTTTTTTTTCTTAATTATTACAATCAAAATAAATCAATTGAACATTGAATATTTTGTTTTATTTCAATTGTGAATGTACACGTTTAATATCTCCTTGAATTCCAACAACTTCAGGATGATTTGAAGGTAATAGTTGATGATGTATTGAAGCTATTTTTTCATAATATGCTAGAGCTTCCTTGAAATGACCAGCTGCTTCATACGTATAACCAATATTTTTCAATGCTGTTATCGCATCTGGATGGTTATTAGAATAAATTTTTGAGAGGATTTTATAAGCTAACTTGTAATGTTTTAATGTTTGATTAACATCATCAATAGTAGTACATATAATTGCCATATGATTATGTAATTTAGCTATATCAGCTTCATTATCAAGCGGAT